AGTGCCTTTCTGTTAAGTCTAAATTCCAATACTCGAGAAAACTACAGTACTCATCAAGATTCAAATTGTTTACCTGTACTCAACTAGTTAGTTAGAATATGTCTCATGCTATTAAACATGACCTAACTAATCTATATAAATAAAATTTGAGTTTTGTCTGTACATTGCTCAGAATCATAAATATGTAGGTTATTTTTACGTTTTATACATTAAAGAAGCCCAAACAAGTCTCATCAAAATTTCTGTCTGTCTGTCTGTCTGTCTGTCTGTCTTTCTGTCTTTCTGTAACACTCAAGATGGCATTTTACGCAATCTTCTCCAGGAAAACGAGAGTACCTATCAAGATCCAAGTCATTTTAATGTATTCACTGGATTGGCGAGAGTGTCTTTAGTCATTAAAATATGGCCTCACTACTTAGTAAATAAAATTACGGACGTTCAAAAATGCAGTATTGAGCGATTTTTGTCAAGTTTTCGTCCAATTTTTATCACATAATGATCTATGAAATAACGAACAGCTGTTCGGATCAAGATTATTTTTTCTAGCTGTCACTGATATGTTTACAAATGTTGTTTACAAATACCGCAACCATTTCCGATCACGTTTTGAGGGTAAATCAAATCCAAGTGACATTAAAAACGTTGTCTTACATAACGGATTTAATTAATCGCAAGTGGAATAATATAGTGTAACCGTAAATGAAATAATGAATAACTAGGCATCATCCAGGTCAGGAACCAGAGATTCTTTGTGTGTAAAATTGTTCTTGAGTTTTGATAACCAGAAAGAAGACCTTGAATCAGTGTTGTATAGGGCTGGGAAACTTGAATTTATTAATGATCGTCGCCAATAGCTTACTATGTAACAAGGATTCCACTAATTGACGGCGCTTCAATGGCGGTTGTGTAAATTGTAAAGTAAAAAATCACAACTGCAATGGGTGATTGTAACAGAGGTTTACGGTTTATGGATTATGCTAAACTTGCTTTTCCGATGTGTCACTTTCTTTTCCTACTCACCGTATGATGCAATCGCCGGACCATACAGCCAATAGGCCCATAGCCCATCTCTTGGGTACTTACGCCTACCCAATTATTCATAACAACCTTTTCGACGACGATCCTTGATACCGGTAATTTTCCCTAGAATACATGGCCTCCCTACTTAAGAAATAAAATAACAATCGTCCAAAAACCCAGTGTTGTGTCATTTTTGTCACATTTCATTGTAATGTTAAAAGATATACGAATCATTGTTTAGATAATAGGCCTACGTAATCTATTAAATAACAAACAGTTGTTTGTATGAGGTTGATTTTTTTTCAAACTGACACCAATAATTTTACATTAAAAGTTGTTTACGAATAAAGCAATTAAAGGGAAATAACTTTGATTGCCAATAATCTTTTACGAGAAAATCCAAAACCAAGAAATCAATAACTTTGGGACTTGATTAACGCATTTAATTTGTCGGACGTAATTCTTAACAGTAAACGTTGGTTTTTGGTACTGGTTCTTTTCCTTAGAACCGTTGGTAGCAGCAAGAATCATTTTTACGTACCAAAACATCACTGTTATTTACAAATTAGTTATCGTTGGTGTTCACCTTATTTATACAGTCGTATTATAGCTGTACTCAATTTAATTGATGTCTTAACTGTATAAGTTTTGCTTTTTCTGTCTGGATTCAAAATTTTAGTTTATGCTAAGAAAATGATAACTCATTTAAGTAAAACATTTGTTTAGCAAACCATCATGAATTGTTTATGATTTACGTTGTTTATGTATCAATAGTTTGTGGCCTATTGTTCTAATTTTTATTATAAATTACCAATCTTAATTGTCTATAGTACTTCATTTCATATAGTAAGACGCCATTTCGACAGCATTTCGGGTCATCTTTGGTCCAAGTAAATATAGATTGGTATGATATAATTTGATGACATCAATACAAATTTTAAATACTAATTTTATATGTACTTTGTTATGCTTAAAACGTAGCAAATTCCCTACTTAAGTTCCGTATTTTTGGGTGTATGTCTGTTGGTAACGCATTTATGTCCTTATTTCTCAGTGTCACGAAAAGGACAAGAGCACCTTGATAATTAAAATGTCAACCCGAATAAAGTGTTAAATGGTAAGGTTGAGGTAGTACTTTAAATACTTTGAACCAATGTAGGAAGTAACTTTCAACTATAGGCCTACCTTAGGGCTATGCCTCATAGATCTAGGCCTATAAAGCTTTTTTTAGTTTAATCATTGGATTTAACATATGGACTAACACGATCCGGGTGACATTTAATTGCGAAGCATGTGTTTTGGCTTGAAACTGTCAGATACTGTATTTGCGAAGGTTTATATATAATAGTTTTGCCAGCATATCTAAAAATATGTAAACCAACCGCTGTTCTTAATATAAGAAGATTTCAACTGACTACTTTAAGATCCCCGTGCGTAGAACGGGCACACAGCTAGTTTCAAAATAAAATAACAACAAAACCTGTTTTCCTTTACGTATCAAAGTTTTTTTCAAAACCATTACAGTAACGGTTACCTTTGTGACTCTTTGTCACAGTACTGAGCTAAGTAAGGTAGTAAGGTAGTAAGGTACTGACCACAAGATCCCTGTCCTATAACGGCTCATAGCTATTTAAAAATATAGAAGAAAACAACAATGAACCAAGATGAAACATGCAAATTATGCTCAACTCTCATGCAGACTAGCTAAACAGCTGTCAAGAAAAAAAAAGTTTCCCCACAGTCACCCTACAAAGTTGGCTTCCTTGTACTGTTTATAGAACAGAAAGCTGCTAATTGCTGCATATTTATACTTTGTCGTTTTATTCTTTGGCGCACATCAGGATTCCAACGAAACAACACAAAACAGTGTGGTTCTATTATGCACGTAATCCGAGTACGCTTGGAAATAGGTTAGCAACACTTAAAGATAATAATACTATGAGTATGAGCAGCTGATTGACTATTATAACTACGATTTAACCTGTCATTTTGTGTTTATAGTTTCGGTATTTCTGAACTTTCTGGACTTTTCTTTTAAACGTTTGTAAAACATTCCTACAATCTTAATAAACAAGAAAAATACCTCTAAAGCATGTTTTTTTAGGCGCGGAAATTACTTCAAATTACAAAAACATACGGAACTATTTTCTCAAGTCGCGGAGCACATTGCTTGCCGAGGAAAAAATAGCGGAGTGATACGGACCGGGGACTACTTTCTCTAGGGCACCTATTTGTGTTGCTAGCTGAACCTAAAAATGTGTTGTATAGTGTTTGAAAGACAAATTATTTATATGCTTTAAAGTGACTGTAAGAAAAATATAATGTGTAACACAAGTACAAAAGGTCTTTGCTGCACTCGAGATCATTCCGCACTCGCCTCAAGTGCCACTTTGCTCACTAGTTACACAAATAACTATTTCTACCTAACGTTTAAATACGCTATGACACACTGTATACTATTAATAATTGTTGAATTACTGTATCAATCAACATAACATGAAAATAGGTTAGTAACTAAAATTGTTTTTACTAAGAAACCAAGGAAATAATCTACGTAGCATTATTTTCACTAAAATATTTAAAAAATGTCGTCCAGGTAAACAAGGAAATTTCTTTTTCATTTCATTAAGCATTTATTACAAAATTTCTAAAAAGGAACTCAAAAAATAAGATACAAAATCATAATGAAAGTATAACAAATTGTTTACTTAAATGCAATCATTGTCTTCAAAGATAAAAAATAAAGTCATAAGTTAGAGATATAATAGTCACATGAGTTTGTATAGCACAATTAAGCACAGATTAACACTTCAAAAAACATTTTAAATACATACAATATCTTTAATTAAAGGTAAATTATTGAGCTATAATCTAAATAATTGTTCATTACACATTCCAAAATAAATAAAAACATGCAATGTCAATCGAACTTATTAAAAAACTGGTTAAAAACCAATAGTAATCTAAGAATAACTTCATGGTTAACATGGTCGCCATTTCATCAAAAAGTATTAAAGTATTAATTTATTTTAACTACATAGATCCGATGAGAGATTTTATTAAACCAAGAAATTGTTTCCTCACATAGTTGCTATATAAAATAAAAGCAAGAAAACTATTTTCTTAAAGTTGTGATATTGAGACCAAACCAGTGGCCAAAATACTTAGGCCCTATACAAAGATATATTTTATGAATTCAAAAGTTTACCTAATACTAATTAAATCAAATTTGAGGGGATGCATAAGATTTCTATCTTAGCCTCACATCTCAATGAGAGTAAAACATATTTTAATCAAGACAGTAAAAACATATAAACGATGGTAAGTGGTGATCGATTACGATAGTACACTCCAATCAAAATCGATCACCACTTACACTTACCATATGTGTGTGTTTACCGTCTTGTGAGTAAACAGTAAAAGTGTAAATACGAGGGTTGTTTTTTTTTCAACCTCCGATAGGCTATGAACAAAAGACAAGTTCATATAAAACATTAAATTTATTACCAAAAGTTTGGTCCATTTATGGTTACTTTTTGACATAATCACCAAAGAGATTGAGACATTTGCTATATCTGTGCACCAGCTTTTTACCCTCTTCAAGAAAAGTGGCCGCCAGTACATTCAAAAAACAAAAAATGTCAAAAAAATAAAAAAAATTAATAAAAAATAAAAAAAGACTTTAAAATTTCTAGAAATTCAGTAAACAAAGCAATAATGGTGAATCTGTGGTTTATTTAACCATCCTGTCAAACTGTTGAACCAAGTCATCTGAAACGACAGTAATGAGCTGGTTCAACAAGTTGGCAGAAAATCCTTAGTTGTTTAAGAATGGTTAAATAAAGCACAGATTCACCATTATTGATTTGTTTACTGAATTTATAGACATTTTAAAGTCCTTTTTTATTTTTTCTTGATTTTTTAATTTTTTGACATTTTTTAGTTTTTTTATTTTTTTTGTTTTTTGGAATGTACTGGCGGCCACTTTTCTTGAAGAGGGTATTAAAAAGCTGGTGCACAGATATAGCAAATGTCTCAATCTCTTTGGTGATTATGTCAAAAAGTAACCATAAATGGACCAAACTTTTGGTAATAAATTTAATGTTTTATATGAACTTGTCTTTTGTTCATAGCCTATCGGAGGTTGAAAAAAAAACAACCCTCGTATATTATAATAAGAGTTATTTGACGTATTTTATGTGCTTTCAGGTAATTTTATAACACGTATGATGCTGATCAAGAAGTTATTTATAAAGATTCCTCAAATATAATTTTATATATAAATAATTATTATCTTACTTATCTACAAAAATATGTAAAGACAATCAAATCACATCTTACATCAATCATTTACAAAATTTGTGATAATAATAAGAACCCTTAAAGATAAATCCATATAAAACAATAAAATCCAATATAATACCTTAGTTTATTTAAAAACAGTTAAAATAGTTAAAAATTGTAAAGTATATACTACAATTAGGAGAATTGTAAACGAGAATTGCTTTTAACTGTTGTTTATCGGCCTGAATTATAGAAGTAAACTAAGTTATTAGGAGAGTTAACAATGTGCAAACTCTTAACAGGTCTCTTGGGTATACAAATATCTATAGGACACAATAGTTAAGGAGTTCATAAACTAATATTTTACTATAATAACTATGCAACAAATTATAAATTTGTCCTCAATATTTTGTCCTCAGTCAACACCTAAGATTTAAATTTAAATTTTAAAACAAAATTTAATGGTGAGATTCTCTATCATGATCATTTTACAGCTTCGATTCATTATTGCCTGATGAATATATTTGACCAGATATAATTTCAACTTGACGATAAATAATAAAATATAGTATTTGTTCTTTCTCTAGTTTACTCTTGAAATAGTACTAAAATTAATATTTGTTCATTAATCAAGTCCAAAGTTTACAGGGTATTTAAATAGATACTATGACAGTAGTAGTAGTTGTCTAGTTTCTATATTCTGTTAAACTTTAAGTTTTGCGTGTATATGTAGGAATTTATTTCATGCAATTTAGATCTGTGTCAGCTTAAAACAAATTTGTACTGTTATTTATTAAAATTAGAAAACTCTAGCTGCCTGTGTATAAACTTATAAATTTAGTTCCACAAAATCAATAACATACAAAGAATCAACACAACAATTGTTCTATACTAGAACTTGTCTATTTAATGCATCACCAATTACTGTAAAATCACAGAGAAAGTAAACATTACAAAGAGTAGAAGAAAACTCAGAAGTTGAGCTTTTAAAAAGGCACTTTTCTTGTAACCCTGGCTACAGGTTAAAACATACAAAAAGGTTTATATATATATCTTAAAATATCACTTTTCTTATCCTAAAAGTATTTACAAAACCACTAATATAGTGGAAAAAATCTCACTTTGATGTGAATGTGACTTAACATACAATAATATCTTTGAGTAACTTACTTTCATATTCTTGTTGATTGACTACTTCAGAATGATTCAAGGGGGTGAAGAGCCTCCCTTAAACTGGACTACTTCAGTGATGAGTCTGTGGAAGACTGTTTTTGACGGGAAGCGTTACTTTTCTTCCTCTTGGGTTTACTACCCGCGCTGGAGCAGCGGTCTCTGTTGTTAAATGATACATTGGTCTGGGTTCCGATCTCTCTCCCATTGTAAGGATTACTTCCAACAGACACAGCCGAAGTTGATTGATAAGTGTAATGTATTTGATCAGGACTTAAAGAGCAATCTGTTGAAACAGCAACATTCACCTTCTTAGAACTTCCTTTACCTTCTCCTTCACTCTGTATCCACTTCGCATCATCCGTACAATTCTCCAAATCACTACAACTGGGATAGTTGAACTTTTCTCTTTTGAATTCATATTTCGTCGTCTTTTTCTCCGAGTCACTTCCTTGGGTTTTTCTACTCATACGACTCAAATCGCTTTTGTTGCTCATTTTGCTGTGTCGTCCCTCGCTTTTCTTACTCTTCCTATCTTCATTGTCGCTATCATACGTCTTCTTATTTTTTGAATTCATTTTGACGATACGTGCGTTATATTCAGTCTTGTTCATGTAGTTTTTGGTCAAAGGTTGTGTAACGTCGTCGCTGTTAGCTTCTTCCTCTTCTTCATTCTTTTCCTCATCACTGCAGTTGCTGTATGTGTATGTGTTTGTGTTGGTGTTTGTATTTGTGTATCTACCAGTGATAAGTGTTTCTCTTACTTGTGTCACTTCCTCTTCGCTGCTTCCATCACTTTCCTGTGACAATCCAAGAGGTCCAGCCAGATTGCCAAAGAGTTTTTCAGCGAGAACATTCAAACTGTCGTTCAGACCTGCAGTGGCTTCTCTTCTGTTCTGGTTGTGGACCAACGGAGGAATCTCTACCCTTCCAATTGTCAAGGCAGAGAATATCTGTGGAAATATCTTTATGATTATTACTAAAAAGACTGAGGTGTTTTACTTACTACCATTGAAAAAATTAAACGACTAATCAACTGTTACTAGTAGGATATTAATTATATTTGTTAGCAATCATAGCACAATTGAGTAGAGTACTTTAAAATCCTAGTGAAGGGTCATTATGTTTGTTTATTTGTATTTAAATTTGTGCTAATGGCATGGTCTTAGTACCATAATTGACTATTGGATACTGAAGTAGATGTCCCATCTATATGGACCTGCTGTCGCCAATTTTTTATTAAAAAAGAACGCAATTGTATAAGCCAGTCACAGAATGTACTTGTGTCTAAAATTATACTAGATAGCCTGTTGCTCGAAATCGAGCAAAACTGCAACTTGTAATAACAAAAAATAAACAACAAAAACATAAACAGCAAGACCTCAATCAAAGAGTAATTCTAAAGTCTATGACTGATTATAGAAATATGAAAAATATTATGTTGCAACAAATTATAAAACTAACCTACAATATTTAAATAAATATAGATCCGCTCTCATACTGCTTTGGTCATCTCTTATGTATTGTAGGTGGGTCCCCACTATTAGAACGTAGATGTCAACCACACACTGTAAAGTGAGCTTTTCCGACCTAATGTTGCAAGCCAAATCCCTCTCTTGACGCAAACCAGTACGACACGTAATATAGCACTGTTAAATTATTTCTACGATAGGTTCTGTTTTAGGTGTGTTTAAATTAGGGAACCCAACCAAAGTCTCCAGTTGGGAACATTAGAGGGCAAGCAAGTGGATCTAACGACGGATCTAGAACGGATTCGCGTTTAACATTATTAGTTTTTGAAAAAAAAATTAACTAAGATTTATTTAGTCTGGTGGTCCTCTGTTTTCAGCTTTAAAAATAGCGGCAACATCGATACAGGTCGCATCATTGCAGCGAGGAAAGCCAATTATTTTGTCTCTTATTATGTACATAAGAATCTCCCTTAACTCCTCGGAGCTCTCGTCCCTACACATTTCTGCCAGAGTTTTAAAAGATTGGGCAAATGGGTCAGCAATGTGGCCCTATTTCCCACCTATTTTTTCATTGAATCTTTCCTTTCAAGTGTCATGGATCTTGAAATTGTAGATCCCAGATTATCCTCTCATCTAAATGAGCTTCAGAGCTGACCATGGCAATGGCGGAATTGAATTGACGAATTTTATTCTAATAATTTCTAGATCCAAGCCTCACAGCCCTGATTTCAGATTGGGAGTTTCCAATAAGTTCCTGAAAGTATGGTGAATTCCGCAGATGAGGTAAATGGTTCTCTCATTTATGGCAACAAAGAGTAACAATTGAACTGTATCGGCCAGACTCTTTTTTTTTTTGCTTAAAATGTAAGCCACCACAATGTAAACATTTAACGTTCATTTGTCCAAGGTTAGATGTATCCCACACGATGGTTGCCACTCTGTAATCTTCAAATGATACATTGGGAGATTGATGCAAGCGGCCACGTTCGCGTTTCCTCCAGCCACTCACAGTCTTTGTCTTACTGGTGGCATATTATTTTAAATTTAGATAAATTGCGAAAGTTAACAAAACAACAGAAAACACTACAACGGAATATCGATCTCTATTATTACAATAATAGAGATCGATGCAACGGAATTGTTATACACATTGTAAATTACATGATATGGTGATGTAACTTCGCTGGAAATAATCACTTTCAAACATTCATTTAATCACACCAAACTGTAACCAAAACAACACGATAATTCAGTAAAATACGATGTAAGGTAAATACATTCAACTATTTACAAACAATTTGCTGTCAAGTCTTGCTAGGAAACTCTTTATTTAAGAAACAGATTTAGTTAACAGATGTTTAGATAAAAATATAAAATTCCGGCTTTGCTCTGGAATAAATAAGTCCTGCAGTCTATGGTCAAACTTAAAAACTGAAAAGAATTAAATATTTATTCTTAAACCCTTTGTTAGGATGCTCTTCAATATGAACCAGTCTTAGTTAACAGATTGAAACAAAATATAAATTCCAGCTTTGCTCTGAAAGTTTTAAGTCCTGCAGTCTGTGGTTAACCTTAAAAACTATTTCAAACTACGTCCATATGTTATTAGTAAACAAAGGGAAATGAGTTTGATCAAATGTCAACAGATGGTGCCACCTTCCAAACTTTACCCCTTAACTGTACTTAATTGGCGCCCTTTCCAAATATTCTGAGGCGTATTTAAGCACATCTACGTGAAAATACCTTTAATTTGACACCTCAAACTTTAAAATCCACCAAGCCGTTATTGAGTTATGACTGTGAAAAGAAAACTGCTTGCGTATTAATATATAGATTTTATACATTATTTTTATTGCTGACCACGTTGATGGGTCATAACAGTTGCAATAGCTCACAATAAGTCTTTGCATTAATTTGACTAAAGTATTGGACAGAAATTAGTAATTTAGATCAGCATAATCTGTCGGTGGCTTACATCGACTACGGCAATTTTGATTTAAAATTAGGTGTCAAATTTAACATGGGGTGGAATGTCTAGTTGTATCAATGGTCAAAGATACTATCTAAAGTTGACCTTTGGTAAGATAACATTGATAGTAGATAGCACAATGACAAATGACATCTGGGTTGGAAAAAGTCTTGCTTGGAATCAAACAAGCAACCTTCAAATTTGAAGAAGGACAAGCAATAAACCACTCCCAGATGTCGTTTCATCTGAAAACCCACATACCTTATACAGCTTTCAATTTACCTTAAGAGGACCTACAATACAAACATCAGTGTGCAAAGTTTATTGTATTCTACACAGCTATACTCTTATTTTCTCAGGTAAGCAAAGTAAGCCCACCGAGTTCTAACCCAAACTGAGTACCTGAGCGTCCATCTGACTCTCCTGGGACGTGGAGCTGCCGCGCCGAGAGCCCAGGTTGCGGCTGCGTCTGCGGCGACGGTGACGACCTCTGTGGTTACCTCTAGTCTGTCTGGCCTTGCGCACTGTCTTGGTCAACTCTGCCACTTGCACGCTGACTGCAGAATCTAGAGAGTGACGACGTGACTCTACTGACACTCTACAACACAAACATCTCCATCAGGTAACATTAACTACTTGCCACCATAGACTGATATGTGTGGTGGTATAAAGATAGAAAGTACTACTACGGTATAAGTAAGCCTAATATGGGGGAACCATACAGCAATGTCTAGTTTATAAACCAAAGATACTGCCTAAAGATAAGCTGGGATTTACATTGTGCTTCTGTTGATTCTACAGTTTTCAGCAGTTAAAAATTAATGTTCTTTATTTAGAAATTGCTTTTGATTTAGTAAACAAAGTCCTATGATTATAAAAAAAAAAAATTGATACAAAAGAAAGTGTACCAATCTAGTTTTGTCCAATTCGATGTTCATGGCCAGAGTAGGATTGATTGATATTCAGAGGAAATGTAAAGAATGACTCTGTTCATGCCATATAACAAAGGTAACTGATTGATTTGCAACAAATATCTAGTGATATTCTACAATTGCATACCTGCGGACACTGTAGCTGATCTCTGAGTCAATGGAGTTTCTTCGCTGGCTGGAGTTGGAGTTGGTCCCGCCGACCAGAGCCCCACGCCGTGTCACCAGTTTAGGCAGTGCAGCAGCCCAGGTAGAGCTTAGGTTGCCCGACGCCATACTGTTCAGCTCAAAGTTCAGGCCTGAAAAACATGTTCCAAGGGAATAACAGAAAGCTACATACCCATAGGTAAAATATGGACAATATAGGCTTAACTTTGCTTTACCTTTCCACAAACCCATTTCATACATTAATTTTTTCACTTGCAGGCTTTAACAGTAACTGTTGGTTTTTAAAGAAAGTTTATTTTCCTCAACCAAATGGATGTTCTGGCTCTTGGACATTTAAATTTAGAACAAAGTAAAATTTCACTTTGGTGGTTGAGAAGAATTTTTTGTAGGCCTTTGTTGTAATTCTATAGCAAGGATGAGTTGCCTGTCTAAAAGTAGCCTACTTTGTACTATTATTTAGTTTTTGTGTACCACAGCAAGGATGGCAAAAACTTATTTATTTCTTTGACCATTTTTAGGGTTTGCGTAAATTTTTTCTCTACCACAACAGGTATTTCTTCCAACAGATTATTATTTTTTCAGACTTCCAGAAATAAGTTAATTGATATGTAAACTTCTGATAGAATGTTTCATAGGTAATTCATATGTTATACACTCCAGATGGGATGGTGAACATTAGTGTAATGTACATACCCACAGGGTCTTGGTAAGTCCTGTGTATGCTGATGCTCAGACGGCCATTGCTGTTTAACATCTTGCGCTTGGCAAACGCCTGAGCAATCACCTTGTGTTTCTTCAGTTTTATTGGGGCCTCCTCTGTTTTTTTGTTGGTCAATCTAAAACAGGTGAAAATTCATTCCGATTTCAGTCACACTCACAATATGAGACTTTTCAGCAAAAGGTAACTTATTTCAGTTGGTGATGTTGTCTATAAGCAGTCACAGAGTTTAGATAAAATACAATAAGTGCTTAGAATAATAAGGTTTTATATTTTCCATGCTGGTTTTTGTTCTGTCAAATAATGCAGAACCTTTCAAATTTGATTAATATGTACAGCTAACTGAAGGATGCCATCTTTTAAATCATTGTTCGATGAGGTCGGCGTTTATTTGAGGTAGACTTCCATCACCATTTTATAATACAAACTTTTTATCAATCCTCGCATGATTAATTAGTTATTAAACTAACCTTACTTAGGGACTATTTACTCGCATAAAAAGATTAAAGCTTAATAATTAGACCTTATAGGCCTACTATTTGAAATTATTCCTTTTCCGCAAAGATTTCAACAGAAAAACCACATGATAATTAAATTGTAACTTTTGTGATTTTTTTTATTGCAAAAATAGTTTAACTAATTGAGGCTGTAGTAGCCTAAATGGGCCTATCTCAAAAACTGATGTTTTGAGATAATCGCTGTTAAAGTTTAGAGGTTATGTTTGGCTGTCTGCGTTGGCAGTCGTCTATGCTTAAAGGGCCTGGTGACAGCAGCTGACTTTAAGAGTCATACTAACCAAACAAACTTAAATACACCATTCCAAATTATCAAAGATTATACTAGAAGACACAAGGAAGCTAAATAGTGATTCTCCTCTCAAAGGGCCCGTCCTAAGGTTTTATACAAAAGTCTTTGGTTAGGTTATGTTTGGCTGCTGTCAGTGTTGGCGCTCGTCTATGCTAAAGGGGCCTAGTGACATCAGCTGGCTTTTAGAGTCATACCAACCAATCAAACTGAAATACACCATTCCAAGTGATATTAGATTATACTAGAAGACATAAGGAAGCGAAATAGCAAATCTCATCTATAAGGGCCCATCTCGACTTAGGCCCCTTTAGCAGGTACAGCCTCAATTGTAGTTTATAAACTTTTAAACTAGGCCTAATAAAATGTGGAAATCTTCCAACTAAACTACTTTTTAATTATAAGTAAGCATGATTTACCTTGCAAAAAATCGTTTCCAAGTCTGAACAGTTGAGTTAGTCCAGACCCAAGAGGACATTGATATGCCTGTAGCAAACAACGCCAACAGATGAAGTTGTAGAATGGCCAGACTGGGCCTATTGTCCATCAGACACTGGGACTGGGTCTCATACACTAAGCGACAACTGTAACACAAACAGAAGTATTGATGTTACTTAGAGGCAAACAGATGAAGGTGTAAATATTAGATATTACTGATATTAGATACAGTAGTAGTAGTTTAACCATAAGGATTTAGATAGGGTGATTGGCCAATGATAAAGACATTCTAGGTGCATATTCAGGGAGTTGGTGGCTCATTCTGTAGCGTGACAGATTATCACAGCAATGTTGTAGTTTGCATCCTGTTGCCCGCCTCTTCAATGTTATCAGTACATTCTACTCCTGTACTGTACCAGCACACCGGTGAGCGAGCTGGCGTAGTGGTTAGAGCGCAGGACTTCAGTCCCTGAGGTCCCGGGTTCGATCCCCGCCAAGTCACCAATGGATTTTATCTAAGTGATAATGCCGCAACCCCTAAGTCTAGCCTGAAGTAATGTGAAAAACAATCCCAGGCTCGTGCCTAGCGTCCTTCTTAGGACACAAAAAAAAAAAAAACTGTACCAGCACACCACTTCTTTTGCTGGATATGCTCCAAGCACAGACTCGAGGCTGTGAACTGGTGAATGCAAGGAAATAGTCCAAAACTGAAAACAATCACCTATACTCACACAATGTACTTGCGGAAGCTAGCACGCCACAAGGGAGTGTTGCGGAACTCATATATGTGACAGGCAAAAGTAGTGAAGCCGAATATGAAGATAAGCACTGAGAAGAAGCCCATCCTGACTATTGTCTCCTTTATCTTGGCACTGGCTCTCTCTGACATGATTTCCTGGCTACTGATCTTCAGTTTGATGAGTGTGAGCAGTCCTGAAAGTTAAAACAATAAATAATCAGGAACGTCCTGTGAATATTTCAATCAATTTCACACACACTTAACCTAACCAAATAAATTATTTGATTTATTCAATTGTCCACTTTCCTTATACAATATCCAATATATAGGAATACAGTATTCATTCAGGCTGCAAAACATTATATTTCTAAGTCTAACTAGATGTAAATCATTGCTCCAACTCTTTACAAGAACAGTTAAGTCTGCACCCGATAACCTAATAGTCTGGATTTCTCAGCAATCATGCGTAGTATTAACTCTAAGCTGGTGCTATTTATGACCCTAAGAATGAACCACAGAACTCGGTAGCTTCAATGTTACATGGTAGAGTATCTTTGCAATTTGCACTTAGCGCTACTTGCAGTCATTGAAACGACAACATGTTAGTAATGCATAGATACAGGTGAAACTTTTATCGCTAGCTAGTCAGTTTGTCAGTCAACTACTAAACAATGAATAGTTAAAAATATGCAAGCTACAAATATTCTTTAACAGGCTTAATTTATGTACTTTAATTCTAAAATTGAATCAATGTTTCATCTAAATAATAGAAATAAGCACTAAACAGTAAATGTACTGTACTGAATATTACTTCGTTATCTAAGTTTTCATTTCTGGACCACATAATGCTGAGTTTTTAGTCCAGCATTTCCCAAACACAGCACTCTTCCAGTTCATATCATCAAATCAAATTATCCTTTATTCATTTTGTACACAATATACACGAATAGTGTCAATACACTTCATATTAGGTCCACATCACATTTATAGGACAATACTGCAATGATTGTTGGAGAAAATTGTTTAACATCAATTTCACCTTTGAAGAGGAAGAATCCACCAACACCGAGAGCTGCGAAGATTGGCAGCAGCACAAACACTCCCCGGTAGATGTGGTTGACTGAGCCCACAAAACACACCCCTGACACACTGTTGCCGTCTATCTCCCCCAGAGCCATGGTGGCTATGGTGAGCACTAGAGGCAGTGACCACGCCACCAGATGGAAGTAAGCTCCCTTCTTGTCCAACCTCTCCATGATCTTGCCTAGAAACAATTTATGATTCATTCAGTATTAATTAGTTAGAAAAAGCATTTTTTGTATCTTTTTTGAAGTTATATTAGCACACACGGCAGAGTCGGGATTGGCAGAGACAAGAGCAATCAGCAGATGTCGGTACTGAATAAAATCAAGGACCTTTTAAATTTTAATTATTTTTTTAGAACTTTATGAATGTTTTATATCACTACTAAAATAAGAGAAACACAATATGACACAGAATAATGGCCTGGGGGCCAAGAATTTCCGTTTGACATTCTAAAATTAGCATTATTTTTTTTTAGATTTTAGATGACTTTCATTAATCTGGCATTTTCAATAATGCAGCACCGCCAAACTCCCAAATGTATTGGTTTAGCAAACGTCTACTCTACTATTATCTGACTTTTATATTTGAATCAAAATGATTGGACAAAAATAACTTAAATATAACGTTTTTTAATTGTAAGATCAGTCAAAATTAAGTGTTCCCAACTAACTTTGCCTTATTTTTACACAAAAAAACCCGTTATCCGGACTGGCCTCGGTCCTGAGGAGTCCGGATAAGAGGGAGTCTACTGTTTCTAAAATCATTCACTACTCAAATCAGCCAAAATATGCAACCACCTGTTTTTCTAATTCAAGTTCATGTTTAAATTCTTTCAAATATGCAGTAAGTGCTTCACTCCATACATTCACATACGAAGCACATACAAGCCGAAGCCATATAACTTGGAATGTTCTGCACGTCTTCACTGATTTGACCTTATGCCAAACATGTGGCAACAGTAAAGGTATGTCCTGCCACATGCTGTCTTCAGCTTTTAACACTAATCTGTACTTTGTATCTAATAAAAATTTAATTTTTCTATTCATCCTTTAAATATATTCTTCCTTTTTATTTTTCTTCCGTGTTTAATGTAATTATTGACAAACACCACATTAGCTACCTAACTAGTAATTGTAATACATATTTATATTATGTGTGTATATATATATAATAGAATTGCAAATGTGTGCATGAACTTTACATCTGTTCAAAAACTAAAACAATTCACATACAACACGTAGTTGAGACATTAGAGAAAGAAACTTACCAATTGAGAAATATTGCCAAATCCGCAGCAAGACAAACAAAATTAAATATTGAATTGAGTGTAACATATAAAATTAAATGGATATCGATAGAGCTGCAAATTTAAAAATGTTTATACATTTAAATTTTAAGGGTAAAACATGGTTTTCTCTTATGACAAAAAGCTTAAATAAAATCACAAGACTAAAAGAAAAATCAGCAGGAACATAACACAAAAATATTAGCAGTCAATTTTTTTTCCGTGGTTTTGCAGTATTTAATTTTATCCACATTTCATCCAATAGGTCCAAAGGGCTATACCATACTAGTGATGGTCAAAACCAGAAATTTTGAATCTCAAAACCGAAACTTTTAAAAATCGAATCCCGAATCTCGAATCTCAAAACCTAAACGCAAAACTTTTTTACTTAGCTGGTTACAAAGGTCAAGGTTACAAAAAATACAGGTAATAATAAAATATTAAGTATGCAATCAAAACTGAAAGAGATCCACTACTGACACTGACATAACATAAATATGTGTCTAATAATCTTAAACCCAAATACAACATAATTTTTTATAAACAACCAACATTAAAAATAAATTAAACCCCTAACACTAACATAAACATGAATATTAGAATAATTAGAACATTTTGTAGTCAATATTTCTTTGTGTTACGAAATATTGATTTGAAACTGAATCTTATTACGTCGTTCCAGTTATAGTATTTAAGATGCCTTTTGAAGTCCAGAATACAGTATACTTGTTTTATTACTGGTGATGGTATCAAAGCTTTGGGTATTGATGGACTTTGTTTCAAATGTGGTCGATCAAACCATCAGTCTAATGAATGCAAAACTAATCGGAATAATCTTAAATGCACTTCCTGTGGAAAACAAGGCCACGTTTCAAAAGTGTGTATAACGTCTCTACTAAAGAACTCTAAAACAAACACCCTGTTGTCTCACTACACAGAAGATGAATTCAGTCACCCAGATGAGTATGGAATTACACAAATCAACGATGTAGAAGATCTCTACATAGTAGGACCAGACTCGGACAAATACATGGTTACAGTCACTATCAACAACAAGCCTCAGACATTTGAAGTAGACTCTGGTGCACGATTTTCCTTAATCTCAGAAACGGACTTTGATAAACTTGAACTTAAAGTGCCACTTCAACCAACTCCTATCTCATTTCGCTCATACTCTGATCATATAATAAAACCTAAAGGTAAAGTAACTGTCACAGTCTCTTACAATGCAAAATCACTAAATGCTGATTTATTTATAGTACCTGCAGGTCATTCTGCTTTGTTAGGACGAATTTGGATTCGTGGACTTGGAATTGAACTCAGTGAGGTAGACAACAGAAAGCAATCACCGATTAATACAGTTGATGTTAATTTAGTTCCGTCTCTAGAGGATATATTCGAAAAATACTCAGAAATTTTCGAAGAAAGAATCGGATGTGTTCACAATGTTGAAGTTAAACTCCAACTCAGAGATAATGAAAAACCAGTTTTTACTAGGGAACGTGATGTCCCTTTCACATTACGAGAGAGAGTAGAAAAGGAACTTACAACCCTCGAGTCTCAAGGAATCATAACTCCAGTCGCATCAAGTGATTGGGGGTCACCATTGGTTGTTATCCCAAAGCCAGATGGAGGAGTCAGACTATGCGTAGATTACAAGTGTGGGGTTAATTCAAAACTTGTCTCATCTAACCACCCCATTCGACGCATTGATGATGTCCTACATAGTCTCCGCGGATCAAGATACTTCTGTAAGTTGGATCTTCATAAGGCTTATTTGCATCTAAAAGTCGATGAAGAGGGAAGTAAGATTCAAACAATATCCCCATAAAGGAATGTTCAACATGAATTGTCTCAGTTTTGGAATAAAAATAGCCCCTAAAGAGTTTAATCGAATTTTGTCACAACTGTTAAACGGATTATCAAAGGTAGAAGCATACTTTGATGATATCATTTGTCACGGTGAAACTCTCGAAGAGTGTATGAAGAACCTTATTGCATGTTTGGAATGTCTCAAGAAGAATGATCTACATCTTAACAGAACAAAATGTGTTTTCTTCAAGGAAAGTATTAATTACCTTGGACATGTGGTGTCATTCAATAAGATTCAAAAATGTCCTAAAAAGGTTGAAGCAGTTACTCAGATGCCTTGCCCTAGAAATGTTGATGAGTTAAGACGCTTTCTTGGCTTAGTTACAAACTATGCAAAATTCATTTATGACTTCTCTTCAAAAACACATCCGCTACGATATTTGCTTTGAAAAGGAGAAAAATTCTCTTGGTCAGCTGCTGCTGAAGCCTCATTTCTGAATCTGAAATCTGAACTTTTTAGTGATACAGTTCTTATTCCTTTTGACCCATCAAAACCAGTTATTCTCACAACAGATGCTAGCCCAACTGGAATTGCTGCAATACTCAGTCATGATATCGATGGTCAAGAAAGACCAATTGCATATGCATCTAGAGCATTGACTCAGGCTGAAACCAATTACAGCCAACTTGATAGAGAAGCTCTAGCAATCATCTACGCAGTCACCCATTTTTACAATTACGTTTTTGGTAAAAAATTCACTCTTGTCACCGATAATGAACCATTGTCACATATCTTTCATCCAGGACGCGACCTGCCACGAATGACATCATCTCGCTTATTGCGTTATTCTTCATTCCTCAGTGGTCTTGACTATACAGTTTGATGCAAGAAAGGGAAAGAAAATGAAAACGTGGATTGTTTGTCTCGAAGCCCAGTTCAATCATCAATTTCATCTGAACTAACATTCGACAAAGAAATAAACACAATCAATGCAGAAACCTTACTTCAAATCTCCAGCACTGTTATAACCGCAGAAACGATAAAAGAAGAAACAGCAAAAGACCCTGAGCTTCAAGTTCTTTTGCATGAACTGAAAAATAGTCGCAAAGATAGCCCTTACATGATCTCAGACAACATACTTTTCCGATCAGATCGAGTCGTAATTCCCAAACGTCTTCAAAATCAAATTCTAAATGAGCTCCATGAATCACACCTCGGAATTACTAAAATGAAACAGCTTGCTAGAAGATATGTATATTGGGAAGATATGGACAAAGACATAGAAAGATTAGTGAAAAGCTGTGAAGCTTGTGCTAAAGTTCGTCACAATCCACCAAAAGCTCCGGTACATCCGTGGGATCAGCCCGATGATAACTGGGAAAGAGTGCATATTGATTATGCCGGTCCATTGGATGGAAATTATTTCCTCATGTGTGTAGATGCAAAATCAAAGTGGGCAGAAGTTCGCATTCTTCGAAATGCTCCTTCCTCAGCAACGACGATGGCACTACTTGAAAACATTTTCTCAGTCCATGGGTACCCCTCGTTCTTGGTCTCGGACAATGCCACTATATTCAAAAGTGAGGAATTTATCAACTACTGTAAAGAACGTGGGATTTTCCAAAAATTTACTGCTCCTAACCATCCTGCAACAAATGGCCTGGCGGAACGAAACATACAAACTTTAAAGAGAAGACTTATTGCTGCTGCCGATGATCCAACCCCAATTACCACAAAGCTACAAAACATTATGTTCAGATATCGAGCAACACCTTTGGCATCAGGCAAGACTCCAGCAGAGTTGTATTTGAACAGGAAGATTCGGATTAGACTTGACACACTTCTCCCTAACCCAAAGGCAAAGCTTCCATCAAAATTGATTGCTCCTCTTCGCGTCCGCTCTCTTAAAGTGGGTGAGAGGGTTCAGGCAAGAGTTCACCTGGGAAATAAAGACATATGGCAGTTTGGTACAGTCAAGAGAAAATTAGGTCAATACCATTACATTGTTGAATTGGATTCTGGACAAAGTTTAAAACGACACATAAATCAATTGATTTTGACTCTTGTATCCAAGAAGAAAGTTACATTTACAACACACAACGAACAAGATAGTTCTGTTGTTCCAAGACGGATACCTATTATAGACTGTCAAGCACCACCACAAGAGATCCACCCAGAGTCTGAATCAAGTTCAAACAATCCAAAAGAACTAGATGGTACTCTAAGGGAAGAAAATCTAGACAGACCTCAAGCCACAGAACAAAAAGAAAACAAATTAACTCGTCCTTCCAGACAGCGCAAGGTTCCGTCCTATCTTAAGGACTTTGCTCTCCAGTGATTAAGTGGGGGAGAATGTTATGAACATATGAATCAGTTGTTACTATAGCAACCAAAATGTTTATTATCAAATGCTGTTTACTTTTCTATTCTGATCTTTAATATAACACAGTTACTTCTATTTCAACACTCTGTCTTTTTATATTCTAATATTCCACTCAAAAGTCATCTCACTGCCAAAATCTTCAATTTTGAAACTTTTGAATTTCAAAACTCGGTAATCAAATCTCGAAACCGAAACTTTTCCAAAGTTTTGATGGTTTTGAGATTTGAGATTCGGTTTTGACACATCACTATACCATACAGACGTTTCACAGGCATTACAAAGGCTAACACCTCTTGTCTTACTCTCTGACAGAAAACTCCAGTGTTACAACTCATGTGAAACACCCGTGTAATGGAATATTTATCAATAATTGGCTCAATATACCAATGCTGTTAGGTTAGTCACTCACCCTGCACCTGAGAAATGATGTGGTAGTGGTAGGTGTACGTAAGTATGACGAACCATACAATCCCTGCCATGAAGAAATAGTAGACCAGCACAAACACAACCACACAGGATAGATTCTCTCTGGCACTGTACGCATAAACAAGCATGAATCAGTAAATATTCAAACACATCTGACACTTACTTCCTACCATGTATAGACTTATTTCCCTAGTTTCCACAAGTTTCGAAACAATATTTATTCATATTCTTTCACCAAGATATAACGTAAATTTGTATAAAAATGATTAAATAAAAAATTAAAGGTTCAAATATGTTTATTCAGCATTGACTCCAGGATTGATTTATGACAAAATAAATAGGTTTTCACCACACTATGATGTTTTTGGCTGTATTACATACGTTAATTGGTGGCTGAAAGTTACGTTTTGCTGGCCATGCCAGCTGTCATCGTAATTTGGGGACTGAGCAGGTTTTTACAGCCCGGGGCCGCAAAATCAGCTGTCCGCTTACTTACTTAAAACACGAATGCATTTTAAATACACAATCAAAATCCATACCATTGCAATAGAATTGTGTTATTGTCACCGTTGCATAGAAACTATTTATTTTTATTTTTGCTTATTCCTCTAATTATTATTTCGTTGAAATGCGTGCATGTCATGACCGGTCGCGCATTATTTTATGTTTATCAAATAATCTGTGTTCTTCGCGTGTGTTAAATGTTAAATTCGTAAATATTGACAACGACATTGTGTTCAATCAATTTATGTGTCATGGGCTTGATAAAGAAACAACTGTTTCATAACCAGTCGCCCGAGACTACAGAACGGTTGATGACGCAAGGTACGTAAACCTATTTTTTTTATTCAAATGGGATATACAAGTCTGAATATACTGATAATGGTAATTAATTAACACATTTAAATGCACAGTTTCGCAGTATTCAAAACTTAAAAATTTAAAACCTGTCTTAAGCTTTATCTGGGATTGTTGAACTAGTCCTTTACTAAACATTGTTTACACCCCATCTGTATGTGTTAGTTTATAACCTGCATGAGTTGTATAAGTAACCAACGCTTTTAATTGTACTAGTTTTTTTACTCTGTACTATGGACCTGCTTGGAACTCTTTTATGTTTTCTTGGGTAAGATAGTTTGTATTACTTCTTCATTCATGTATTCCTCAGCCAAGTGACCTTTCCTCCAAAAATATGACTAATCACTGATAAAACACATTAAATATTACTATTTATGTCTGGTGGCAACTCACTTAGGCTCTCCCACTCTGAGTGTTCCATCCTTACGGCACACAATATCCTCCCGGCCCCCGGGTAGGAACTGTGCCAGCCACCCGAGACAGACGATCAGGAAACAGAGGTTGGTGTAGAATATCACAAGGGCTGGGTACTTGCTGGACGACTTCCAGTCAATCATGAACGTCACCTGGAAAAGTATGTTTAGTAACGATCATGTCATCTGGTTGGTAGGTAAATGTTTACTGTGTATATAAATCATTAATCGTCAGTCCCTGAGAATCACAGAAATTGAGAAACTATGGGGAACTACAGTATAACCTACGTGGATCTATGACTCACCTTCCCCGATCCTTTCACTCCCTCTACTATGGTATACAACTTTGCTTCAAATAGCTTAACAAAAAACAGTAAAACAATGCAAAGTATCAATATGATTTCCCTGTCTTTGATTGTGCTGGCTGCGGTTAGTATGTGACACGCTATGGGCCTGAGAGGTAGACAAGATCGCGCCACTCATCCTACACTCATCTCCATTCATACTTGGATTAAAATACCTACATTTGTATGGTCACCATTTCATAAGAAAGTATAAAGTAAGTAAGTTGTGTTCAAATGGTAGGCCTTATACCTTTGTCTAATTTTTTTTTCTGGATTGTCAAAATAGATAAATAAACGTATTACATAAAATTATTTCATGGAGAGCACTTATAGACAAGAGAACACTTAGCAAACTGTCAACCAATTGTACTCCTGATCCTTGCCTGTAGGCATATAGCATCTCCCGTTCCTCATCAGTAACTGGAGAGAACCTCTTCTGCGAAGGAGTGGGGAGCGTGACGTCACTCTACTCTTGAGGGAACACCATTAGCGTAACGAGACGCTGAGATTCCATCGGTGTTCGTGGCGTAGTTGATAGCGTCTCAGACTGGTGATTGAAGGATTCTTGGTTCCAATCTCGCCGGCGACACTAACTTTTTGTCTAAGATTATGCTTATTTTTTTACTTTTAACTTTATTTTTTTTAAGAAAAAACTTTTTTTTAATTAGTAAACCTTCATTCGATTTTTATTTTATATTTTTTTTATTATCAGCAAGTTTGTTCGGTTAGGTTATGACAGTTAAATTTTTTAATAAAAATAAATAAAATTTATTTTATTTTTTACAGTAATTAAAAGTTATAAGTAAACGTTCATTCGATTTTTATCTTAACTTATATCTTTTTTATATTATCTGCAAGTTTGGTTGGTTAGGTTAGGTTATGACGGTTAAATTTTATAATAAAAAAATTTAAGTTAAAATTAATTTTATAGTAAAAATTTTAAGTTAAAATAATTTTATATTTAAAAATTATTTTATGATTAAAAAGTTAATTTTTCTAACTAAAAATTATAAAATAAATTTAATGATTTTCTAAATTGGCATGAGGGACTCTCCCACAATCCCCCATTTCTTCGCACAAGAGGTTCTCTCCAGTTGCTGATGAGGAACGGGAGATGCTAGTCCTGTAGGCACCCTAGTCTAACGTCAATCTACTCACAACAGTGAACAAATTGAACAGGAAGCAGATAGTAGCAGACCACGCGACCAGACGGTGTATCTGGTAACGCTCATCAGGTGTGAACATAGGGTTGTCACACTGTACACCACAGCCGTCCATGCCATCGTAGTAGGAGCCTGGATTGTCAGTCGGAACCATCGGCTCCCTACACTTGCCTGACGTGTTGAACTTGAGCTCTCTAACGTCATTCTGTCAGTACATAACCAAACATTAACCATCCAATACAATAATACAATATATGTATGCAATGAATAAAGCATGAACTATTTGACAAGACGAGTTCAGCAAGAGTCCAGTGGCTAATACATACAAACTTAAAGGTAACAATACATAACATAGACATTTCATCCTAGGTATTTTCAGACAGTTACTTTGAAAAAAACTGTCAGTTATGATTAAAGATGGAGTCGAAGTTAATATTCTCTATGAAAAGTTCAAAATTAGGGTGAAACATCAGTAATAGTAATATGTTTGTGACCTTTTAGTATGTATTTATTAGCCACTGGACAGTTTTCTTTAATAACCTAGTTAAACTCTATCTCTTTTCAAAATAAAAGACAATCAGACACTTGTGCTTTACTTTAAAACTAGTAATGTTTATTAATTTCATAATACCAATAGCACAATTTACCAAAATTCCAAATTCCATAATACCTCCCATTGGAATGCAACTTTATTTTCAAGAAAGAACTCCTAGTCATAGAAATACAGTAGAACCCCAGTTAACTGAAATAAAGGGGGGAGAGCCGTTTCGGATAACCAATTTTTCGGTTAAACCGTCATATGCTAAATATAGCCTATGTATGCCTATTACAACGGCAGGTTGGAAAATTGAATTAAAAACCATGTCTATATAATACAGTATTTTATTTTAGCTACAGAAATGTTATAAAGGGTTAGAAAATACTTTAAACTAAACAACTGAAGTTACTAAAGCATTTTAAAAACATTACGTATTACTGATATTTTAGCCCTGTATTATCTTACCGTTTCGGTTAACCCAGGTTTCGGTTAACCAGGGTTCAACTGTAACACGTTTTGTAATGATTGGTAACTTCAGAAAACTAAAAATGAAAACTTGTATCCAGCCCACCTTAAAATTTGATTGCTAAAACTCTTTTACAGAAAATGTTGTTAAAGGGTTGTAAAAATTTAATTTTTATTGTTGAACAAATGAAGGCTGATGAAAAAATAACTTGCGAGTGTGGCTTATAAGTGAGCAAAACGCAGTCAGTCTTGAGGATTCCACATTCAAATGACTTTATCAATGTTATGGTTTTTCACAATGTGAGAGTGCCGTTTAGAAGACTACAAGACCTACAGAAATGTTCATTTCTCACCAAGTTAAATCTACTGAAAAGGTCATATCAAGTGTTTTTCAACACAGGAGATGCCAAAAATATAGCTTGTACAGAAATTAGACAAACTAATTGTAACAACAAATTACAAATAGCACAATAATTAAGCACAAGATTTTCTTTTTTATAGTTTACTACCCAAGGTGTATAAACTTACTTTGCACGCCAGAGGAAAGTCAGTGGTGTCGTTACACCTGAGTGCCATTGGCCAAGCGTTCATCTCTGTCAATATCCTACAAGCTGGTCCGAGAAGAACTTTACACATTTCCTACAAAAAAACAGAAATATGAGTTTACAACAATTGTGCTTGTAAAACACGCTTTAAAGTAACTTATTAAACTATTCCACAAAGAGGTGTAAGATTTATAGTCCTGCTAATAGTTCCAAAGAGAAAGTCTACGTAACATTCTTAGTTTTTTTTTTTTTTTTTTTTTTTTTTTTGTCCTAGGACGCTAGGCACGAGCCCGGAATCGTTTTTCACATTACTTCGGGCTAGACCTAGGGGTTACGGCATTATCACATAGATAAAATCCATTGGTGATTTGGTGGGATTCGAACCCGGGACCCCAGGAACCAGAGTCCCGTGCTCTAACCACTAGACCAGCTCGCTCCCCAACTAACTTTCTTAGTTTACCATTAGCTACTGTCATAGTTTTTAGTATTCATTCTTATTTTTGTTTCGAGTTTTTACATGTTTTCAAGTTGTAGTCATAAACTTCATTACAGTACACAGTGGCAAGATAAACGTTTTTGCTCACTATTTCTTTCTCTGCAAATGATTTTTACCTACGACCGTTTTAAACAAGCCTTTTCAATCCAATGAATTGAAAAGATTCACTTTACGGCATTGTTTACCCACTTTACACCACAAGTGTGGTAAAGTAACGGACGAACAGGTTCAAGGATTGAGAGATAAAAGTAAAATTGATTGAGATAATCGTAATTGCTTCGAACACAAACTTATCAGCAAGTAACGACCGATTCAATTGTTGACTGACCGACCTCCGGCAGTAACTTGCACATTCGGTGAACTGAACAATTTGCTAACCAACAGTTGCAGGAAGGTTTACCGGTATTGAAAGATTTGTAAAATAAATTTGGAGTCCCACACTACTCAACTGAGGTCTGTGCTTTACGTGGGAAAGAACCAAACACTCCTGAATAGTGTAGACAAATGTAACCAATCGGATACGGCCGCAGCCAACGTGTTAAAAGGGTTTTTGATTCTTTTACTCATGTTGTTACTAGCTTCGACAGTAACAAATACAATATGGTGCATACCAATTTAAATTACACAGGTGTAATGATAAAATGTGATAATGGTAGTCTACAGATTTAACTATGTCTACGTTACACGTTATACATAGTACGCCTACCTGAGATGGGAGATCAACCAAGCCATTTTCACACCTGGGAAAGTACAATGAACAGAGAAAAGGTTGAATCACTGCCCAGCACCTAGGTAAATTGATAAGACCTTTCCAGATTATGAAATGTTCCTGCAAAAACATTTAGTGCCATCACTACAAGTTAGAGTACAATGTGTTAAATATATTAATTTCTATATTTTCTAAAGAAATAAGTCACTTACCTTAGAGCTGAAACTTAAACAAGTAGGCTACATATTGCTGAATTTAATAATTGAAAACCTAACATTTAGGATTTTTTAGTCATAAGAAACAATATTATTAATATTTTGTTTAACACTTAAATGCAGTTGCAAAATCAAATTATAAAACTATGCCAATATAATAAGCCTTTGTAATGTATAATTTTTCCATATGACAACAATGTATAGGTACTGGACATGTTAATTGTACTAGGCTAATTTAAATTAGTTCTCCACTAATGCCTTTATAGACCTTAATATTGAAGTTTTTTCAACCTGAAATAAAGTTTAAGCTAGCCTATCTTAGAATGCATAGGCTGTACATTAAGCTATTTCCACAAAAAAAATATAAAACCAATAACACATAGAATAAAATTATTACATTTTATCACCACAATATATGGAACCCAAGCTGCCTTCAATCAACAATAAAAGAAATTGATTGCATATCAAAATTAAAAAAAAAAACACTAAGATATGGCTTCTGGAGAAGGCATTTTTTCACTGGATGATTTCCTAACAAATGTATAATTATTTTTAAGAAGGTATTCAATATTATGATTGTTTTTTGTTACAATGGAATTTAGTTTTATGACAAATCACGTCCTGTCAATCATTGATGTAACATGATGATAATAAATCTATTTATATAAAATCCAATGTATGTTTGTTTGTTTGTTTGTCCTTTATGGACTCCGAAACCGCTTGACAGATTGTGATTAAACTTTCATGCATTATTAAGCATTATTCAAGGATGGTTTGTCTGAAGTTTGTTGAAGATCCGTCAAAAGAGCTCCGCCTCAGTGGCTCTGGAGTTTCCCATATTAACCTTATGAGTACTCATATTTAAATGGAATTAAAGAATCTTAACAGCAGCTGGTTCAACTAAACAATTTGATTCTGTGATGTTCAAAAGCATTAAAAAGTTAATAGGTTTACCGACAGCACTATTATTTTTTTTTTATTTATGACAACAGCTAATTTGCAACCAAAAGGTGAGTGAGCGTAGCGAACGAACTTCAACCTGGAGGCGAGTTAGCGTAGTAAACGAGCTAACCTGAAGACAAGTGAGCGCAGCGAACGAGCTCCAACCTAAAGGTGAGCGTAGCGAACAAACTTCAACCAGGACGTGATTTAGCCATGCGAACGAGCTCATCTTGAAAATGAACGAGCATCTGATATAAAACCACATTAGGACAGGACGACGTCTGTCGGGCCAGCTAGTAAATAAATAAACATAAATTAAGCGCTCTGAGGCTTTGGCCTGCCCCTTTTAGACAAGACAAATTAAGTTAATCTGAAATCTATTATTTAAAAAAAGTTAAAAATCTGTTAACATTAATGCTGTTTGCCTTTTTCCAATAAATAAGTTTTATTACTAGAGGTTAAAATACCTTATAATCCGTCAGTGTGATCAAAAAGTCACCGATGAAAGGCGACCGGTTTCAACCCATCAAAGGGGTCATCATCAGGCGTTGAATGGACACATAATTACTCCGAAGAGGTCGTCATAAAGTCAATAAATACAAATGAATGAATTCATTTGTATGAAAATGATACAAATGAATTTAGTGAGTCGGTGGCTCAGTCGGTAGCGTTGCGGACTTCGGGCCCAAGGCAGCGATGTCGTGGGTTCGGATCCTGGTCACTGCCGATAACATTTTATCAGTACAGTTCACCTTTGTACTGTACCGGCTCACTCCTTGCTTTGCTGTAAACGATCCACGCACGGGCGCTTAGTCTATGTGGACGGGCAAATGCAAGGTTAAAAGAGGCCGCCAACCTCTTTTTTAAAAAAAAAAAAAAAAAAAAAAAATCGAAGAACAGTTAAAACACTTAAACACATTTTTACAAAAACACGTGTGGCCACAAATTGACTGCGCGGCGGACGGTATGTGCACATTGAGTTACAAGTCCAGAACATCTTATAACATCTTATTAACATCTTAAACCTTGTGAGTAACATCATACATCTTGTGAGAACATCTTATTAAGTAGTCTGGTCAATGTGCACATACCGCCGCGCAGTCAATTTGTGGCCACACGTGTTTTTGTAAAAATGTGTTTAAGTGTTTTAACTGTTCTTCGTTTTGTATTTATTGACTTTATGACGACCTTTTCGGAGTAATTATGTGTCCATTCAACGCCTGATGATGACCCCTTTGATGGGTTGAAACCGGTTGCCTTTCATCAGTGAATTTTTGATCACACTGACGGATTATAAGGTATTTTAACCTCTAGTAATAATTTATATATTGTGATCAGGAGGCAAAAACAACAAAAATGAAATAAGTTTTACTCTACATGTAAACAACAAAATCAAGAGTGAGTTTTTAACAGTTTTTCTCTGATGTTTTAAACAAAGCAATGTACTTATTGTGTGTCACTTATACAGCAATTACAATTTTCGGAGTTGGCCTAAGAACTAAATCAACAGGTAACAATCCAGTCAGTCTAAACTCTTACCCTTAATAAATTTGAATTAGCCTAGCCAATCTACAGCCCTTTAAAACTGAATCTTCAAAAGGTTATTTGGCATAGGACATTCTCGTCTTCTATCAACAATGACAACAATTAGGCTACTAACTTGTATCATAGTCAAGAAACTATTTGGGCTGTTTTAAAATAATAAAAAACAAAACCTTAAACTTACAGTAATCTGATCCGCGGAGGTTAGCCTTGGTACCAGCTCAAGAGTGGTAGAGGAGTACGGTAACTTTGCACCCAAGCATGTAGAATTACTCAGCGGCTGACAAGTAGCCTTCCGTCGACAGTAACGCAAACTCCTTGCATCTTGAGACAAACGGTCCAACAGGAACATGGAGTTGTCCATGTCTATAATGTCATTCGCTTTGAAGTGTCTAGAGACTTCTCGGTAGTTCCACATAGAGTCATTTCTAGGACTAGAGTCAGGATAATCGAGTGGTACTGTGACTGCTAGGTGTAACATCAAGGAGAACGTCCACGAGAGCCACACGAAGCGAGCACTCATTGTGTGGCCTCCTGTTGAAAATAAAGAATAGAGTACTATATGATTAAATTAGGTTTATTGTCTTAAAATCAAAGATAAACAAGCCACAAGACATTCTAAAATCCTCTTAAACCCTTTTTAAGTTAGGCTATGTTGCAATTGATAGCGTTTAAATTTTATGGTAGGCTAAATGAAAGTCTTTACTCCTTCAGAAATAGACTAGTATTGAATAAAAAAATTCAGGCCTAATGTTTCCTATTAATATGTGTCGCTTTTTGTTATACTTTCAAAAATATATGTTTTAGTCCCTGAACTGTTGGACATTTAAATAATGTAATACCGGTACTAAATTTCTTTTGGTCCATCATAAAGTTCAAGTTCAGCAGTCTGTCCCATGCTATCAGTGCAGTCGGTTTTCATTCTTCGATACAACAGGCCTGTTAGTAAAACTAAAGTTAGTCCTAATGTTTCAATTGGTTTTGTCTTTTGTCTAAAGTATGCGTACGAGTATTAGGCCTATGTTTATTATATATTTTATGAAGTTCCCAACTGAACAACTTAACAACCTAAAGCTGACAATGTTGTTTTAGGCCTAAACACAAAACGGGTCCTGAACAAACATTTATTGTTTAGAGCTACCGTGCCTAACTTAATGATGGTATAATTGAATACTAAGTAGGCATATTCTTAATTTAAGTCATAATACTGATAATATTGAATAAGTAATAAGTCATATATTTTTCTTAAATGTTTGTGTTGATTCATTCCCTAAGCTAAAACTTTTAACCATTGTAAGCCTATTTGTCGCATAGAGGCCAACGCTGACTCTTTCTCATTCTAAAAGATAAGGCAGGATTAGGCCTATGATCCATATTTCAAATTGCAGTTATTTTACACTATGCATATTAATTTATTTCACAAAGTTAGTAGCTTGTGTTACCAAGGATTAAATACATAACTTAACTGCGGAAGAACAATGTTGGCCTAGTTTAAAAACACATGAAATAGTCTTATTGGTTGGATCTTAGATTTAACTTATATGCCTATGGCATCATGGTTTACCATAACTAATTGTCGTGCCAACTAATATTACTTTATTCACAAAATTTACGCATCCGGTAACCGAACGTGGATGAAGCGTCCGGCAGTGATATCACTCGTTTTTTTGGGCACCCCGAACACCACTACCACAACGATACGATCTACAGCATGTTTACGGTGTTTGTGGTGTAGTGGATAGAGTACTCAGCTGATGTACAAGAGGTACCTAACTTAGATCGAATCCCATCGGTGACACTAACTTTTTGTCAAAGATTTTGCTTAGAATGCCATTTCTTCTTAATTGTACATTTTTTGTTAGAATTTGAGCCTTTTATAATTTTATTTTATGAACAGAATTTATTTTTGATTCGATTTTTTCATTATCAGCAAGTTTGGTTAGTTAGGTTAGGTTATGACAGCAACTGGCGGACGCCTAATCCACGTCCGGTTACCGGACGCGTATTCTCTGCCTACTTTATTTTTAATATAACTGGTTCCATAAAAAATGTATAACGTTTCCCTAGACATAATTGAAAACATGAAAATAAACAAAGGCAGCTATTGACGTTAGGCAATATACCAAAGTATTGGCGTTCATATTAACCCGGACGAAAATTGGAAAACAACCATGTAAATCGTGTAATCTATAAAAATCATAAATTATGTCTAGGTCTACCGTGAATAGCAATTTTCACCCGATTTGTCTCTCAAGTTGCAGCAACAAACAATGAAAACCCAGCCCTTGATATTACAATAATATGATATGTGTTTCAAACTTTATTTTAGCGCAGATAAGTATTGAATATCACAAGGGTATGGCTTTAAAATAATTTGTATGACAATTAATTTACATGTAAGTAGTTTTACTTACCTAACTGCAAGCGTTGTTTACATGAAAAATAAAACTTCAAGTGAAGACCACACACGAATTCAAAATTGGATGCAGACCACCCACATAGCAGACTAAAGACTAATCTTATTCATCGTTGTTCAGTGCAGTTAACCAGTTAACACAAAAGTCCAAAAGAAATACAATCTTGGAACGTGGTACGTATATAACAAATATTACCATTGGTTTTATTATTTTTATATGACTAATCAAGAATAATTTGTTATTTGCTGTTTGTTAAATGTAAAGGAATGACGTACTGTGATATAAATACCAATGTTATAAAACTATATTAAATTATAACAAAAAGTTTAAGAAAGCGTTAATTGGTTCAAATTAGCCAATCCCATAATATATAACTAGGGTGAGCAACGAAAAGATTCTACATTACGCCCCTTAAAAGATTCAATAATACCATAGACAAAAAGAATTAAACGTAGACCAAACGGAAAACGTGTTTGAAGCTCTCAGTGACTAAAGTGACATGGAAGAAACCGTTATTTCTGACAATTAGGAGAAGGAGATTAAACCTCCACCCAAGTTCATCCCTAACGTTTCAAATATCAAACAAATTATGACATCAATAGAGTCAGTGATTCCTAGAAATGAATACACTTACAGGTGTATAATCGAAAATAAGGTCTACATTTTCCCATTATCTATTGACTCATATTGACAATTTGTTCATAAATTAACTGAGCTAAAACACGGCCACCTTTAACTCCAGGCCGCGGCCTGGTAGAATTGGCAACGTTGCAAGTGGTGTTGTCTAGCGCCAGACATCCCATAAGGTAACATGGAAGACAGGTGACACCAGCCCATTAATTCACGTATTATTCATTTAAATTTAAATTTATAAAATTATTAATATATTAAAAATTAAATATATAGATTTGTAAACCAAAACCATATTTAAATTGAAAATCTATTTTTGTACATTTAAAGTGAATTCAATATTTTCATAGTTAGTAACCAAGCTTTCGTATTCTCAAAATATATACACAAATACCATTAGTTGCCTCCAAAAAAACAGCTGTAACAACCCTACTTGCTATGTTGCCACTTCGAAGGCCGCAGCCTGGAGTTAAGGGGGCCGTGGCTAAAAGTTACTTTTCATACATTTTAAGTTAAACAAGACATGTCTTTCTTCAGTGGTCCTGAAGAATAATATGCATTTCTCAGCTGTATTTGATGATATCATATTAAAGGGAAAAGGCCATAAAGTACATAATGTATCAAATATACGGACTTTACAACTAAATCACTACCGGTACTTTCACTGTTCTTTGTGGACTTAGAGCCAAGCCAAAATAACAAAGACACCGGTATATTGGTATATAATATTCAATATTTGTTGAATGTTAAAATCGTGTTTGAACCACCAAGAAAAAGACCAGAAGTCATCCAGTGTAAAAAGTGTCAACAATATGGGCACACAATGGGTTACTGCTGGTATCCATTTCGCTGTGTGAAATGTGGTGGTCACAACCATGACACCTTGATTTGTACAAAACATGTCACTGAACCATCAAAAGTGTTCTTTGTATGAAGGGAACCATCCAGCGAACTACAAGAGGTGTGCAATTCATCAAGAAATCAAACGTAAAATCAACCCTCGCAAAAGTTTTTTTTAAAGAGTCGAGAACTGCAACTGGATCAGCTCGTGCCGAAGTGTCAAGTGTAGATCCTTCACAGCTAATAAACCTGATGTTACAGCCTATCAAACTTATACTCAAGCTGCTGCCACTCCTAAATCAGCACCAAACGAAACGTAAGTAGTGAACGATCTAGCTAAAAAAAATGTGTTCATATTTACCCCCCTATACAGGGTGGCTGAAAAGTAACTTGCACCCCCACTTAACTTTTCAACCATTTGAGATATTTGAAATCGGTTTGCGGCAACCTTCTTACATATGAGGGGCTACAATAATTATGGTCAATTTTGAAAATTTTGCCCTTAGGGGTAGCGGGGGTAGTGGGTACGGTAGCTCAAAATTTTCAAATGACAAGTATAGTCGAGTTTGGTATCATTTTACAGGTCTTGATGAAACATAACTATTGACATAAAGAAAACCAAAATCGGTTCTCTAATAACAAAATGGCGCCTAAAACGTTTCAAATCCAAATAACCATGATGGTGGCGAAAAAATTAACTTGCACCCTCTTTAACTTTTTAACTATTTGAGATATTTGAAATCGGTTTGCGGCAACTTGTTTGGATGTAAAGGGCTACAATAATTATGGTCAGTTTTGAAAATTTTGCCCTTAGGGGTAGCGGGGGTACGGGGTAGCGGGGGTACGGGGTAGCTCAAAGTTTTCAAACATCAAGTATAGTCGAGTTTGGTATCATTTTGTAGATCTTGACGAAACATAACAATTAACATAAAGGAAATAGAAATCGGACCATTAATAACAAAATGGCAGTTCAAAATTACTTTAAATAACCATTGACTCAATCATTTTTAGCTGCAATTTTGTTATTGATGGTCCGATTTCTATTTTCTTTATGTTATTTGTTATGTTTCGTCAAGACCTGTAAAATGATACCAAACTCGACTATGCTTGCTGTTTGAAAATTTTGAGCTACCCCCTACCCCCGCTACCCCTAAGGGCAAAATATTCAAAATTGACCATAATTATTGTATCCCCCTATATCTTAGAAGGTTGCCGCAAACCGATTTCAAATATCTCAAATGGTTGAAAAGTTTAAGTGGGTGCAAGTTAATTTTTTGCCACCCTCATGGTTATTTTGATTTGAAACGTTTTAGGCCGCCATTTTGTTATTAGTGAGCCGATTTTTGTTTTCTTTATGTCAATGTTTATGTTTCGTCAAGACCTGTAAAATGATACCAAACTCGACTATGCTTGTCATTTGAAAATTTTGAGATACCCCTTCCCCCGCTACCCCTAAGTGCAAAATATTCAAAATTTACCATAACTATCGTAGCCCCTCATATGTAAGAAGGTTGCCGCAAACCGATTTCAAATATATCAAATGGTTGAAAAGTTAAGGGGGGGTGCAAGTTACTTTTCAGCCACCCTATATACTACTACAGGCTACTTTGTAACACTGATTTGAAACTACTGCAACTTCATAACCCTTACATGTAAAGGCTTCTTTGAACATGCATTTGAAAGCCTGGGTTAAAATGAACATTTCTGTATAACTTCTATTTTGATGTGTCAAAATTTTAAAAAGTTACGGAGGATTTTCAAAATTTCCGTCCGGTTATTTTTTAACTTTGCAAGGGTATTAGCGAATTTCCCATATAGGGAATAAGCTATTACCGTAGGTCTCATGGTAAGACCTAGACCCGGGACCGATTTACTTTTTCGTTTTGAGGTCCCCAGAGACCAAAAACACCATCCGTTCAAATTCATATATATATATTTATATATATATATATTTATATATGTGTCCGTTAGCGCGATAACTCGAGCAAAATTGATCCGATTTTGATGAAATTTGGTACAAACGTGTAAACCTACATTTATTCGAACGAGTTCGCGAACCAGCATAATCGGACCATGGGATCAGGGGTTTATGGGGGGTTTTATGGGGTAAAAATGGGTTTTTCTCGTTTTTGACCCTAAAAACTTTAAATTTCTAAATTTCTCTCTAGACCATTTTGAAGAGCTTAAAAAAACAAATAATTTAGTATATTGAAGTGTTTTTGAATGTTCATTGACTACGGAGAAAATTAAAAAAAATTGTAAATTTAAAATTCCCATGTTATTCTTATGGAGAATAAATAAACTGTTCTAGTTTGCTTGTTTATGGATATATTTTAATCAAATTTGGCAATTTGGTTTATTTCATACTAAGCTATCAATATTTCAATTGATAAAACACACCTCAACATCTTCCCCGTAGCAGCAAACCTAACTACTCACTAAAATAATGTTATTTAAATAGGAAATAAATCTGAAAATGTATAGGGAATATTTTAGTAGAAATCAAGCCGGGTAAATGGAAATTCGCTTAGTATGCAGGTTTGCTGCGACGGGGGTATTTTTTAAATATCATAGCACAGTCAAATAAAGGACTTAGATTATGGCTGCTAATAAAAAATTTTGCTGAAAACATCTGTTTTCATTAGAAAAATCGAACACTAACCCAAGTGTTTTTTTCATGTCCGGGAAATTTCACTCCAAGAAGAAGTAAGGGTCGCGACGCCCTCTCAGACAGCCGTTGTCTGCTGTAACTGTAGTCTTTTCACTGAATATTTAATCTATTAAAGGATATTATGAAAATAGTGTTTGGAAGAATAAAAGTGTTTGGTAGTTGCTTTCTTGGTGTACTTCACAACAACCCACCGTCTCGGCTGAGTGGTTCGTCCACAGCTTCTTATTAAGAACCAAGCCCCCTGGGTCAGCAAATCGGGTCCATTTTTTTCTTTAAATTTATTACTGCTTATAAAGTAATCAAAGCAGGTATTTTCTTGATCCCAGATAAATAGAATTGTCAATTATGGTTAAGTCATAAAATTACTGAGTTTGCTGTAGACATGGAAGTTAGGACGACTTTATTTTACTAAAAATGTTCAGCGAAAAACAAGTAAATTTTCATTTTTTGTAGAACCATATGTACTACCAATATCTGTGTATAGTCAATGGTACTATTAAATATTTTTTTAAGTAGAGTATTTATCTGAGATTACAAAAATAAAATATGAAAAATGGAAAGTTTGTTCAAAAGGGGTACTTCTGCTAGTAGGAAATAAATCTCACAATTTTAAGGGAATAATTTAGTGGAATTCCAGCCAGGTAGATGGAAATTCGCTTAGTCTGAAGGTTTGCTGCGGCGAGGGTATTCTGCATATCTAATAATAAAGTAGTTTTGCCAAACATCTATATCTATATATCTATATACTTATTTATTTATTTTCCAATAATCACATAACATCATATTCAGACAGGTGATTCGTCATTGTTACAATATTTTATAGTCTCTATTTTACTAAAATTATTACTAAAAAAAATTTCATTGCTGAGCCTTAACATCTACATAGCTTCCATATATTCCTCCAATGAGAAGAAGGCCTTCTCCAAAAGAAAGT